TGTGAAGATAAGATAAAAATAAAGTGTTCGAGTGTCCCTCCCTCAGGTGCCAAGGTCCTGACAGAACAGGACGAGGCCACTCTAGCAGGGTCTCCCAAGCCACCATGTCAGGGGCGAGGCTCTTGGGGGCGAGGCCGGGAGGAGCAGGGGAAAGTGAGGTGTGAAGGAGGTGGGAAATGGACAGAGGAGGGTCTTGCAGGTGTTCCTGTCTGCTGCGTTGTGTTGCTGCTCCCAGAGTCCCTCCCACTGAGAAGATGCGAGCAGACTGAGCTGGTGTCGGTGACCGAGGGACATACAGACCTAGGGTGAGACAGAGCGACGGCCAGACACACCATGGAAGCCGCAGTGGCCAGGAGAGGTGATATCCGGGAATGTGTGCCCATGTGCTGGTTCCTCGTATCGTCCCGGAGGTACCTTGTCAGTGTTTTTTGACTCTAGCACCGTGTATTTCATTTCTACACACAACCCCTACTTGATGGTGACTCTGTCCAAGACACAAGACCTGTGTGGACATGCATGTACACAACAGTTGTTTGGAAAGTGATGTCCAACTTGTTTTCTGTAGTTATTATCTGCCAAATCAATGAGAGGCAAGCAGTTATGTGTTTGATTTATTATACATTTGTATTTTAGATAGATTTTATTTTAGAAAATGACATTTCTCATACAAAGTTGCCTTTGTAAGTGCTATTAAATGAGCATGTTAAAAACTTTGTAAGTTGTAGCTGGTCAAGCGGATTGAAGTTAAGTAGAAGAGGACGTTCTGCTCAGAAAAGGCGGGAGCCTGCAAGAGGGCCACGTGAGGAGAAGTCTTGCAAGCAAGACATATTGTTCAGAGGCAGAACTTTCGTTGAGGTGATAAATAGTCCATGAGGGCATGGAAAGTTCAAGGGAGGGTGCACGGCTGCAGGTGGAAAGAGAGTTTGTATAACATAGGAAATGAATAGTTTAATGTATAACTTAGGTCAGATGATCTCATAAGCATGCTTGTTAATCATTGTCACTTGCTGTACTCCATTGTTATTTGCTGTAGTCCCTAAATAAAAGCCATGAGAGCTTTGGGGGCTTTTGCTAGTTGCCTGACTAGCAATAGCCCTCTGTTTCTCTAAAGTCAATCCTGCATACCAAACTCATCTCAGTGTCACCGTTTCTAAAGAATATCAATAATAAGTGTGGATGTTTTCCTTGGCCAATGTTTAGAAAGTTGGTCAGTATGAGTGTGTATTGCTGCCCAGTGAACTGTTGTGGGTCA